GATGTTTTAAGGAATAAAATGGAGATCAGAGATTAGAGACATTTATAATGCAGCTGCGATCATTTTTGAAAACCATAGAAGAGTTATCATGTGAGCCATGATTAATATATCTCAGCAAAAACTGTTTCTGACATAACTTGTTTGTATATTGTCGCAGGTTGTGTCTCTACGACCGGAGCAGCGACCTCGCATGGCCGTTTCAGGAGTTGGAGGGTCTGGACCACGATGACATAAGGGAAACAGCGTATGAAGTCCTCTTCACAGCGTGCCGATCCTCGCCAGGATTTGGTGGCCGGAGCGCGATCACATTTTACTCTAAGCATGATGGGAATAGTGGTGGGAAGAGTCCGGGGGTGACGCAGACAAGTAAGTTGAAGCTGGCGCTTGGGCTGAAGATGATGAGAAGCTCCTTGTCCCAAAGGGTGATGACATCCGCGACGGCGTCGACCCCGGCATCGCCGGTGACGGAGCGGAGTCCACGGTCACGCTCTGTGCCGCGACGGGCGATGACCATGGCGGAAGTCATGAGGCTACAGATGGGGGTGTCCGAGCAGAGTGATAGCCGACTGAGGAAAACACTTGTGAGGACGCTTGTTGGTCAAGTAAGACAACATGTGCAGACATTTTTTTTGTCTTGCACACTTAAACGTGTTCTTTTATTTGCATTGTCATCGTGGTCTAAGATTTTAACTTATACAGCATTTGATTGTTTGCATTAATCATAAAGTGTTGCATAAGCTGAAATTTTAACTTTTGTAATGCTTATTTGAAGAGTTGTATCTAGGAACTGGTGTAGGCATTATGATGTTTGTGTTTGTTTATTACATTGTTTAGTCTTTTCTTTTGGGTGAAGTTTCAATATTGTTTTTGGCCTCTTTCCTGTTGTGGTTTTAGTTTTGCATAACGGTCTTTGGCATAATCGTCAATGGCCTTTTATGTAAGTATTGAGTCAATGAAAATAACTTCGTTGCCAATTTACTCCTTATAATGTGTTAAATAATGTTTTGTTTCAAGTAAACTAACCCTTCTTTTTAATTGATTTTAGTCTCTTTTAATAATATATTTCGAGTTACGTCCCTAGAGGTGTTGATTTTACATTGTTGGATATATTTGAGGAGTTGGAAACTCATGTGATATTGCTTGCTTCACATGATTTTGCAAATGTTCAAAACTGAGATCTTAGTGCTCTGAAAAAAGTAGTTAGCTCTTATTCTATGAAAAATTGGAAATTGAAGACATCAGTGTATTAAGAGAACAAGGAATCTAACTACAAGTATAAGGCTTTTTGGTGTTTATAATTGACATCTTAGTGATCTAATAAAGTAATTAGTCTCTATTTTCGTGCATAAATGGAAGTTATGAGTATGGACAATATCTAAAATGGATTAAAGCAGTGAATAAAAGGTGCCAATCTTGTTACGGGAGTGAAAAGTTCTTACATCATATTTTTCTTCGAAACACATGAATTGCAGCTTGGGCGGCAAGCAGAAACTATCATTCTCCCATTGGAACTTCTTCGCCACTTAAAACCTTCAGAATTCAGTGATTTCCATGAGTACCATTTGTGGCAGAAGAGGCAGCTAAAACTCCTTGAAGCTGGTCTCCTCGCTCACCCTGCAATTCCCATAGAAAAGAACAACACATATGCCATGAACCTTAAAGACATTATCCGTAGTGCTGAATTCAAACCCTTAGACACTTGCAAAAACTCAGACACCATGAGAACCTTCACCAACTCTGTGGTTTCCTTATCAATGAGAACTCCTAATGACAATCCTACCAATGTTTGCCACTGGGCTAATGGATACCCTGTGAACGTTCACCTCTACATTTCCCTTCTCCAATCCATCTTTGATCAAACGGAGGAGACAGCAGTGCTTGATGAGGTGGAAGAGCAACTTGATCTGATAAAGAAAACTTGGTCAACATTGGGAATAAATAAGCCAATTCACAATGTTTGCTTTGCATGGGTCATGTTTCAACAATATGTGGAAACTGGGCAGACAGAACCTGATCTTCTTTGTGCCACACATGCTACATTGAGTGAGGTGTCAAATGATACTAAGAAAGAAAAAGAGTCCTTGTATATTGACATATTAACATCTATGCTCAGTTCACTCAAGGAATGGACAGATAAGAGATTTCTTAACTACCATGACCATTTTCAAGAAGGTAATATCGGACAAATCGAAAATCTTCTTCCTGTGGTGAGGTTAGCAACCAAGATTTTGAGAGATGTCAATGTTTCTGATGAAGAAATGCAAGATAGAGGAGATAAAACTACAAGGGATGCCTCCGAGGACCAGATTGATGATTATATTCGTTCATCCGTGAAAAATGCTTTTGAAAAGGTAGGTAGCAGTTAAGAAACATTCTAAAAGGTTGATATGTCAGAAGAATGCATAAAATTTGACATTCTTGGTTTGTTTGATCATTTAAAATATGATTTTTTTTTTCATTTAAATTTCATTTGCCTTTTGTGCTCCCATTTCAGTAAAAATCATGTATTTTTAGTTCCATGCCGGGGACTAAAAACTTGTGATTCTTTTGCAATTTTAAAGGAATAATGGCAATGGTATTTGAATAGACTGAAAACATATCCTAGTCCAATTCACTTTTAATTCCTATAATGGTGCTTTTAACTTCTAGCATTTTCATTTTCTTTTTACTTTAAAAGTGAAAAGGAAATTATCATAATGTCTTTGTTTTCCGATGATTGTAGATGATGGAAGCAGCAAATAATAAATCTGCTGAATGTGAAGCAAAGGTAGGAATAAGTGAGATTATGCTTCGAATGGCTCAGGAGACTGAAAATTTAGCAAAGAAGGAGAAACAAAGTTATAGTCCAGTATTGAAGAAATGGCATTCAATAGCAGCTGCAGTAGCAGCAATGACTCTAAACAATTGCTACGGACATGTGCTAAAGCAATATTTAAGTGAAATGACCACATCAGAAACAGTTGAGGTTATTTTAGTACTGCGTAGAGCTAAAGTTCTAGAAGACGTTTTGGTTCAAATGGTTGTTGAAGACTCAGTTGATTGTGAGGATGGAGGCAAAACAGTAGTGAGAGAGATGGTTCCTTTTGAAGTTGAGTCAACCACACTGACCCTGATTAGAAAATGGATGGATGAATCACTACTCAAAGTGAGAGATTGCTTTCAGAAAGCAAAAGAAAATGAAGTAAGTTTTACCCTCTGAACAAATATAATTGGAGAACACAATACATTGTGCATTTAGAAGACTATGTAACATCTTTTCTCTTTTTTCAGGCATGGAATCCAAAGTCTAAATCAGAGCCGTATGCAAAATCAGTAGTAGAGTTGATGAATTTGTCCAAGAAATTTGTGCAAGAATTCTTTCAAATTCCAATATCAATAACTGAAGATTTAGTTCAAGAACTTGTTGATGGATTACAAAAAGTCTTGAGAGAATACATAATGTTTGTTGCAGCATGTGGTAAGTGGTTCTAAAGATAAATTTTTCTACACTAGAAAGCTTCAAACATATGTTTGGTTTGAATTTTAAATGAAAGACCATGAAACTTATGGTACTAGTTAGTCTAGTCCTAATGACTAGGAAGCAGCAAAAAGCATTCTGATTTGATATATTTTGATCTAAACTGTCTCAGGTTTGAAAGAGAACTACATTCCCTCGCTTCCTCCATTGACAAGGTGCAATAGGAACTCAAAGTTCCACAAGCTGTGGAAGATAGCTAGCCCATGCAGTGTTAGTTGTGAAGATCCAAACATATATTCTATATATGAAGCCAAGCATCCTCACTCATGCACTAGCCGTGGAACACAACGCCTCTACATTCGTCTCAACTCCTTGCACTATATCCTTTCTCATATTCCTCAACTTGACAAATCACTCTCCTTGTCAGAAGGAGTAGTTCCTTCAAATCGCCACAGTTCTGCAAATAGTCAGAAAGCTCAAAGTAAGAGCGTTTCATACTTTGAAGCAACCAACACTGCCATCCTAGCAGCATGCCAGCATGTCTCAGAAGTTGCTTCCTACCGGCTCATGTTCTTTGACTCAAACCCTTTCTTCTACGATAGCCTCTATGTTGGGGATGTAGCCAACGCTAGGATCGACAAAATGTTGACAATCCTCAAGCATAACATCAAACTAATGACAGCAATTCTAACAGAAAGAGCTCAAGAACTGGCAGTGAAGCAAGTTATGAAGGCTTCCTTTGATGCATTCCTAACAGTTTTACTAGCTGGTGGAACCACCAGGGTGTTCAATGAATCTGATCACCAGTTTATACAAGAGGATTTTGAAAGTTTGAAGAAGGTGTTCCGCATTTGTGGAGAAGAATTGTTAGCAGAAAATATGGTGGAAAAAGAGGCTGAGGTTGTGGAGGGTGTAATAGAACTAATGGGAATGAGTACTGAACAATTGGTGGAAAACTTAAGTACCTTAACCGGTGAATCAGGTGGAGTAGGAGTCAATGGAAATGGCCAAAAGTTGTCAATGCCTCCAACTACAGGAAAGTGGAATAGAACAGACCCCAACACAATATTAAGGGTATTGTGTTATAGAAATGATCGAGTTGCAAATAGTTTCCTGAAAAGGACGTTCCAAATAGCAAGGAGGAGATGAGAACAAATAGCCATATCATGAACTTTTGCAAAACATAGTGGTAAAATAAATCCTCCTTCTAACTAGGATGAACAAGTTTCTGGGTGAGGGGGTGAAGATTGTATAAAAAAGGAACCAAAGTTTTGGAATAGACAATGGAGCAACATATTTGTTCAAGAAAGAACTGTCTTGCTTTCATCTCTAGGCTTGTTCAACATTAAACTGATTCAAGAAACAATTGCAGACTACAGATTATCTTCTGAATCATGATTCTGTTAAAAGGAATTATTTTACCTTCTTTTTGAAGAAAAAGGGAGAAAGAAAGAACCACAACTTTGTCATATAATTTGGTGTTGACGCATCTTTTTGCAGGAGTAGCTCATAGCTAGGATGCTGCGACCAGTTATGTTGTTAGTCCATAGAGTTTAGAAAACAAAAGACCAAAGTGCTTGTGACTAAAAATGGAAAATCATCTATCTTTTTGTTGTTTATTCAATGTGAACGTCTTAATAAAGGGTTTTTGTTGCTTAAAATGACAAGAGAGACAGAGAGAGAACGAATTTCCAAAATGTTGTTCACATAATAGGTAAAATGAACACTCAAGAATATATGAAACAACTAAAATGCTTTTGCTTCTACCTTCCTAAACACATTTTACCATGGATCAATGAAATTTGATACCGAAACAGTTTTCAAACAGTAGGCAAATGATAAGGAAGTTGAATAATAAATTTATCCAAAATGGATTCAAACCAATGCACACTTGTATTACTAAAGTATATATCTCTTAAAATAAACAATTTAAGGTGAGGCTCAACCGACAATCCTCATCAATCCTCAGAATTGATCAAACAAAATAGCGATTAACTACTGATATTACACAGAAAAATATTCACCCTTTTTTTAAGAGTGCCACGATTGAACATACAGTCTGAATGAAGGTTAGCAAAAGTAGCACAATTGCAGCAATGGTAGATGCTATCTTCCAAGGTGTACTGAAGTAGTCATGTATAAAGATTGCCTTGTACTTGTTCCGAGGGTTTTCATAGAAACCATTCAATTGATCACACAAGCAGCGATAATCTGATTTAATGTATGGCAGGGTAACATTGCAGCAGAGATTGTTAATCATTGTAGCCACTGCATCATCATCACCCAACAAATTAACAATGATTTTCTTTTCAACGAGTATGTTCACATCTTTCCCTGTGTTGATAAGAAAATCTAGAATCATAATGTACTCGGTGATGTTAGGTGAACACAGAAGGTGGCATTGTTCAAAGGCAATTATGTTCCTGATAAATATCTCAGTTGAGCTATTCACCTTAATGCATGGCATTGTCAACACACCCTTATGAAATTTCAGGTCAAGTAAGCACGTACTTGGACTAACCTCAAAAACCAAACCAGCCTCCCTTAACCGGGTTGCACTATATAGATGATCAACTATATCAACTCTTCTTTCTCGAATCCTACGATCAAATGAAGATGGTAGCATAAAAGTCCTGAGGAGATCAGTGAAGTGCACCACACCAAGTACATTTTCAGGCCTTATGTTTTGTTGGTTATGAGGTTTAAAATAGTTGAAAGCAACATTGACAAAAGAAGGCAAGTCAAGAGTCTCGTGATGAGGAATTGCTAGGTTGTAGAGGCCCTCTACAACAAAGAAGGGAAGCTGATTTTCAAGTAGTATCAAGTCAAATACAACATCGTTGGCCAACCATGGCTGTAACAACAAAGGGTCAATTTCTACCCATCTATCATAGTTATAATATCTAAGGAAATGCTCAATTATGAAGAAAGCATCAATTAGAACCATCCTTAGGAAATCATCACTACTGTGTTGAATTGGCTCTGCATAGCAGAGTCTGATAATCCTTTCCCACTCTTTAAGTTTACAAACACACTCCTCCACACTTAGCTGAGACCTAGTGAAGAAGCTCTTGAGATACTGCAGTTTGAGGTTTTCCATTGGTTCAAGCCTAATGTCACCACCAGGTCTAAACGGGGTGTGAATGGGACCAATGGAAACAACTCTTGGACTATAGGCTTGCTGATTAGGCTGGCGAATTTTGTGAGGCACTCTGTAAATGCATTGCTCATGGACTATAGAATTCTCAGGAAGTTCCACTTTGTCTAGCATCTCTCTCACCTGTTTCACTAAACCATGGTGTTCATTTATGTTTTCAGAAGAACCATTTGCTTCCATAATTTCCCTGCTGAAGTGCTTCTCAAATCTTGAAAGAAATAAACCTGAAAGATGCACCAAACACAACTCTAGGAATAAAATTGTGTTGCTTGTTCATGCTATTCTTGTTCAAACATAGATCTAATGCACATTGAATCTAAAAATCTAGCCCCATCATCAAATCTCTTATGCCAATTGAACAAGTGAAGTTGTTGAATTAATATGGGAACAAAAATCATCAAAATCTAACTCCAATACAAATTTACCTCTCTTTTTTTGAACACCTTCTCAAAACAGAGGAAGAAGAAAACTGCATAGAAAGAAAGACTTCAACGTCGTTTCAATACAGAAATAAAAGAAAATAAGATCAAGAAAGAAGAAGGAACCTGATGATGATGTTGCCACAGGAATTTCCTGTCAAGAATAGAATCAACAAGTTAATCTTCAAGTAGCATACAAAAATTCTCTGTTTCATTTATGACGATGTTTCCAACTAACAAAACATGTAGGAACGTCGGGGGAGCATGTGGTGTTCAAAAGTCAATATTACGCGCTTTTATTTATTAATACATAACGTAGGCATAGGTTTTTGATACCATATTGTATATTCAGGTATGTCTGTAAATGTTACATTATTCATGTCTAGATAAACAAAAAACAATAATACTTTAACAAGTGTATGTTCTCTTTCTAATTTATAGCATAATTGTTAAAACTTTCTTTCTTACATTTACTTTTCAACTTTTCTCTTACTATTGTTTTTTCAATTTCAAGTTTTTATCAATTTTTTTCATGTACACACGTCTTATATGTGTGCTTCACCTTCGCTCTCCAAAAAAAAACACTATATTTAAGATTTAGTTTTTCTTAAGTAAAGTGTGAGTGCGCGGATTTAAAAATGAACTGTTTTTAAAGTTTATTGTTAAATTTCATCAATTTTAAAGATTATAGCAAGACATTTAAGAATGATTATATTAAATAATTATGTTTCTGATATTAGTCACTTTAGATCATTCAAGATCAGTTAAAAAATGTTTAGATAATTTAATATTTTTCAAGTCAATTGCAAAAAACTTCTCAGTGTATACTTAATTAAAATGTGAGTAGTAAGCATTGTATATAATAGATGATAGATATAATACAAGCATAGGTATATCCTTAATATGACTAATTTACACATAAGTTTAAGGGAAATCTTCATATAATATAATTATGTCAAATCGAAACAGATGGATGATATATTAACAAATTCTAGGTTTCAATCACTATGCGTCTAATATATACTAAAATCAGTATTATTCACCAGTAATCATTACAAGAGCAATCTCCATTTTCAAAATGATGGAATCTATTGCGATCTCTAACCACAATTTTTCGCCTAGTAATTTTCGCAATGAGCTTGATCATTGCGTGGCAATCAGCACATATTCTTAAATTTTTTCCAACTCTAAGTATTGCGAACGGTCGAGTTGAGATTAGTCCATAGCATATTGCAAGTCTCTCACTATGTACAGCCAAAGCCAATTCCTTTTGTTCATCATCAATATCATGTAAAGCCACCTCAGTTGCAGGTGAATAACCTTCCAACTTTGCCAAATAGTTCAACTCCTCTAACTTTTTGTAGATCTTTTTCCTCTCAGGGTGTCTAAGGTCTCCTGAAAGAAACTCATGAATTGCATTATTAACTTCAATAGAACTACACCCTGGTTCCTTTATCATTCCTCTCTTCTCCATCTTTTCTCTAACTTCTGCAGCATTGTTCCATCTTCCCAAGGAAGCATAGAAATTCGACAGCATGATGAATGATCCGGAATCTATCCCAGAATGTTCACTCAAAAGTTTTGCAACTTTTTCTCCTATCTCTATGTTTCTGTGGATTTTACAAGCACTTAATACAGAACAAAGCATTTTATCATCAGCTTGTCCTCCCAACCTCAGAATGAAGTCAAAGGCCTCTTCAAGCCTACCAACCCTGCCAAGAATGTCAACCAAGCAGCCGTAGTGTTCTATCGCTGGTTCAATCCCATGAACCCTTTTCATTGATTGAAATATCTCACAACCCAAATCCACCAACCCCCCATGGCTGCAAGCATTCAAAACCCCAACAAATGTTATACCATTTGGCCTAACCCTCTGCGTAAGCATTTCCCTAAACAACTCAACAGCTTCAATGCTCTTCCCATGCATAGCCAATCCCCCGATCATGGAATTATAAGTTGACACATCCTTCACTTTCACCCCGTCAAACAAAACCTGTGCCTCATCTATGTCACCACACCTCGAATACATGTTGATCAAAGCGCCGGCAACAAACCAGTTAACCTCAATATTGCACTTGCCCAAGTATGCATGAATCCATCGCCCGAGTTCCAAAGCTCCCAACTGTGAACACGCAGACAAGACACAAACAAAGCTAACCTCATTTGGCCTCACACCCTTCACTTGCATCTCCCTAAACATCTCCAACCCCCTATTGAACTCCCCATTCCTTACCAACCCATCAATCATCAATGTCCAGCACACCGTATCCCGACTCCTCATCTCATTGAACACCCCAATCGCCTCCTCAACCATCCCACAGTCGAAACACGAACCCATCATAACGGTACTCGCTACAACATCCCTTTCAGGCATTTCATCAAACACCTTCCACGCATCCTCCAGGACCCCACATTTCCCATACAATTCAACCAGCTTCAGCGCTATGGACCTATCCAAACTCAACCCATATTTGAAAACAAGACCATGAACCTCTCTACCACTTCCCAAGGCTCGTTGAAGCACACACGCTTTCAACACCGCAGTGACTACATAGCTATCAGCCAAAATATGCCCACGAACCATTTGGCCAAACAAGTTGATGGCATCTGTGTAAGAGCCAAAGGACACAAACCCATCAATGAGGGAAGTGTAAAGGTACACATTCGGGTTTTGGGTGTAGTAGAAGAGCTTGGTGGCATGATCGATGGAGTTCAGCTTGCAATATTGCCGAAGAAGTTCGAAGGCCACAAAAGGGTCTTGTGAAGTTCCTGTTTTTATGGCGTGGCCGTGAATTGATTGAACATGTTTGGGGCTCCTGCGGTTCTTGAGAAGAAGTGAAATCACGTTTCTACGAAGATAGGGATCGTTGGAGTTGGAATGTGGATTTGATGAGTGATGCTGTAGATTTAATGTTATGGCGGGAACTGTGGAAATTATCATTTCATGAACAACGTTTTCGTTCTTTCTTTTTTGGTTATGGCCTTTTGAAAGTGCAAATTAGCGTTTTGTACAGTATTTGGATCCACGTTTCCTTCCGTCAAACGCGTATGCGTATAAGCTTCAGCTTCTGCTTTTAACATGACACACAGTACTGCTAGCTATTGTGGGAAAATCACGAGGAAGTGTTGTTGATAAATACCTGCAAATTAGCTCACTAATCTATATTTATATATAAAAATTTAATTATATAAATGTTTTTTAAGTCTTAATTAACTAATTAAGATTTTTAGTAAAACAAACAGAAATAAATGTTAGTTTTATATTATAATTTAGAAATAGAAAATTTTAAATTATAGTTTTTAAACTCTTAATTTGAATAAATTAATTATAAGATTTTACATAATGTAAAAATTAAAAAAAAAAAAACTGAGATACTGTAACATCCCAAAATATAGTAATTACCATAATTCAGAATTAATTACAATTAACAGCAACATAAACAGTCTTTGCATTAAACTCAGCGTTTAAAAGCCGAACGGCATCAGTACAAAAGAACGTACGTTCAAATTTGAATTCAGAGATAAACAGGACGAACGGTTTTACAAAACATTTAACCGTACGTACAACTATTCTACCATTTACATCACAAATCTAACGAGCGCTCTAAGGCTCGGCCTTGACTTCCACCTCAACCAGATTTGCATCTTCCAAATTTTCTTCTTCCAGTATTTCTTCAAGAGATGCACCACCATCTGCTCACATCCACAACGGATGATCATTGCAAGACAGGACGAACGTACATGGACAATTGACAACACAAGGAAAACGAAAGGGTAAGCTTATAATATTTAATTCATACATCCAACATAC